GGGATTAGGACATGGATACTTTGGGAAGTCATTGTGCTTATGTCTTTGTTGGGATGTCTTTGTTTCTTGCTGTTTTTTCTCTACAGTCTCTCCCTTCATCTAGTTTTCTACAGCTTCAACTTTCCTGTCCCTGCAAAAAACAAAACAAAACAAAAACCCAGATTCTGTCTGTTGACCTGACTTGTCTCCTGAGCCCCGGTTGCCTCCTGCACCTTCAACTCAGAACTTATGGGGAAAAATAAAAGAACTCATTACTGCAGCCCAGTCCCCCAGAATCAGTTCCCCCTTCTGACTTCCCTGTTCTTTGCGCAGCACCAGCTTTACTCCGAAAGCAGTACTCTCAAAGCCTTATGACTCCTTGTCTTGTCCACTCGCAAGTCAGACCACTGGCTGGATGCATCAGTTCATTTTTCACGGTGTCTCATGCAATGCGTCCCTCTGTCTTTTCCTTTCCATCCCCACTATTGCCTGCATCGTTCAGGCCTCTCTTTGTTCTTGACCTCTTGCATTGCCTTTAATTAGGAGGGGGGGGTTCCATTTCTGTTCCTCTCCTGAGCACCCAAGAGCTGTTTTATATTTTATTCTCATTTCATCCTGTCAGCAATCCAATAAACAAGGAATTAACATCCTCAGTTGATAGAAGAGGAAACTGAGGCCCAAGATAAATGAGATGATGTTCTGAAGGTCGTGGTCATTTATACATTCAGTTAAAAATATTTATTGAGAGCCTGTTATATGCCAGGTACTATTTCAGATGCTGGGGATATTAGCACTGAATAAACCAACCAAGATCCAAGTTCTAAGTAAACTTACATTAATCTAGAAATAAAAAAGATCGGTATTCAAGACATGAACAACCAAATGAACAAGATTACTGCAGTCTCCTGGTGTACCCTTGCTAAGAGTTCTCCTCGTCTCCAGAATTCCTAGTGAACAAACAACAAAATCTCTTTGAAGGCACAAATCATGCACCATTATATACAATCATTTGTATCCTGCCTTATTTCTCTTACCAAACTCCTTGAGGACAGAAACACTTCTTCACGTAGCACATAATAGGAATCTGTTTCAACTACAAGGTTGTAAGAATTGGGGGAAATGTCGGGGACAGTACTTTGTAAACTATAAAGCCATTTTCCAAGGTTTGTTGTCTAGGTGACACCGATTGTGTTCTTTGGTAGGTCCTTCAAGGACCTAGTTGCCCTAATGTGGCCAAGATTGATTTTTTTCATAATTCCTTTTCTTCCATTGCTCTGAAGGAAGCACAGCTGAAAGCTTTAAAAAATGTCTACCTGCTTTTCCAAAATTCTTAAGGAAAAGCTTAAAAGTTTAAGACAATGACTTCCTTGCTCATCTTCCCCACCCGCATAACTGCCTTGTTTCCTAAAATTTCATGGACATTTTCAAACTGGACAGTTCTTAGGTGAATACCCATTTATGCCCCATCCAGATTTTACAGTTAAAGTTTTGCTAAACTTGCTTTGTCACAGCTTGCCATCAAACTGTCTCCTCTATCTATCCATCAGTTCATCTCATTTATTGATGCATTTCAAATGCCTGCATATCATTAACTACAGTTCAGAATTTGTTCACCAGATCTTTTTTATTCTTTTCAGGTACATTTTGCATACAGTGCAAAAGTGTATTATCCAATGAGTTTTGGCAAATGTACACAGCTGTGTAAGCCAAGCCCTTATCAAATCACACAGCTTGTGCCAGAAAGTTCCCCGTGCCCCCTCCGAGTTAGTCCCTAATCCCAATAATTCACTTTGAAACTGTGTGCTCACATGACTTGTAGACATGACTTTTATCACTACACTCACTACCCCAAAAATCTCTTTCGTTCTATTGCTATTAACTGCCACAATTGAAAAAAATACTTTTCTGGATTTACAGACACCATAGTTTGCTCAGTCCCAGAAAAACAGCTTAATCAAGAAATACTCTAATTTTTCTTCCTTTTAAGCATACCTTTGATTCAGATTTAGGTAGAACGATACTGCAGCCTCTTACTTTATGATAGATTTTGATTTCAAGGCCAACCTACGTTGGCTCAGTCAAAGGGGTTTATTTCTCCAAATCTAGTGAGCCTCTATTTAGCATTGTTTAATAAGAACACATTCACAGGATATGAACCTAGAAAATCTGGAGGGTTTTTTTTTTTTTTTTTGCTTGCTTTGATGCCTGTTGTTGATATTCGAGGAGAGGAGGATTTATATTCTTGGGCATGTCACAAGTTTCTTAGGTCTCAGTTTCCGGATCTGGAAAATAACAGTGTATCTCTTGAAGTCCTGCCTAAATCTGAAACCCAGTAGTTTTTATGGGAAGGAAAGTTGTGTAGACCTAAGAAGAAAAAAGAATCTCTACGCTACATAGACCATACTTACATAGTTTGCCAATATTTTTTGGTCCAAAAATAACAAATGTTACTGTAGTTTGGTAAGTTATTCTAGCTTAAATGTTCTTGGAACAGCTGGTTTCTGTTTAAAGTTTTTTGTACTAGCAAATCATAATTTAAATTGTAACACAAAGTCCTTTCCAATGAATGACTATAAAGGGAAGCTTGCTTGATATATTACCTTTTTTTAATCTTGTTTATACCACTTGAGAGGGTTTTTTGACAGGATTTGGGATACAATTGTCAGAAATCTGTTCTCCCCAGAGCCACCTCTGAGTCACTTCCACTATTTATGGAACAGCAACTGTGAAGAGTGGGATCATGTTTAGACTTTTTTTTTTTTTAAACAACACACGATAAATGTTTTTAGGAGCTTATGTAATCTATCCCAGAGCCTTTAGTTTTCAGAAGAGAACAGAGTCCTGGAAGCGTCTTTTTAGGCCTTTACAGCTTGAAAGCATGTTCCTGAGTCTTCAGGTCATAGACTGTCAAAGTAGTAACTTGAGTCAAGTTTTAATAGCCTTTGAAGTTAAAGCTGTTCTGTCTTGGAAAGTTGGGGTGTGCCTTCTATATTAGGTAAAGGATTTTCATTTCATCTTATTTGTCACCTTGCAAAAGGAACTTTTAGTAGGCCCTACTTTTCCTTACACATACTTATGAATCCAAAAACTTCATCTAGGGGGTTGTATAGCAAGGTGCTCCACACAGAAGTCTATGTCTCTGTCCAGTGTGGATGACTCAATAGAGAAGGATGGAGTTTGGGATGCGGGTGTACTGAATATTGTTTCCTTTCCCTGAAAAGTTTCTGTCATCTTTTCTTCATCCTGCACTTAGGATGATCTAGCTCAGGTTTCTGCTTCATTCATCAAACTTCCATTGTGCCACGTGCCAATGAACAGGCCTAAAGAGTCCTTAAGTCCCACCGCCTGTCTTTCTCCTCCACAGAGAAGGGCTGGGAGCTTCTGCAGGCTACATCTTCAGGGTACTTTTCGTTGGAACCCGGTGCCAAAATCCGAACCTGTGAGATCATCTGTAGGGCCTTCCCTGCCACTTCTTCACTCCCCTAACTGGGAAGCTGAAGCCATGCATGTGAGTGTGTCCCTGGAGTGGAACTCAGGTAGCAAACTTCTCTCCTGTTTGAATCTCAAATCACAAAAATGAAGAATATTTCTAAAAGTAGGTTTTTCTCTTCCCAAAGAACAGAGGTGTTGTTACAAAATTATAGATACATCACCATATATTCCTAATGCAAATTCCCACCATTCCTTAAGATAGGGCTTGATGTGCAAACTTGTTAAACATGTTGATTTCATTCCTCAGGCATAAAGTACTTTTTTTCCTCTGTCAGTAGCATGATGAAGACTGTGTGGTTAATAGTAAGAGTTTTCGAGGAGGTGGAGAGATAGATAGGTAGGTAAAAATTAATTAAGAATAATATCCCTATTGAATTTTTTTTTAATTTGGTGGTTTAAATTCAGTCAAGTCTTTATTGAGTATCATTTATGCGCTCAGGGCCATATTATTAAGAAACAACAAAACAAATTGCCTATGGCAACTGAGTAATATAGATAAGGAAATTTTATTTTTTTGTTTATTTTCTTAATTTGCCATCATTAAATTAGCTTCAAGAATTTACAGAGCTTGTTGTTTCTTTCTATATATCCTAAAATCCCAGAATGACCCTGTGAAGCATTTCAGAAATTGTCTCCCTTTCCCCCGCCCCCAGAAACCCATATTTCCCTTGAATACTATCTGCAAGTCCAGAACTCTTTCCATTACAGACTCTTAGATAGAATGGTCTGTCTCTAGGATAGTATGTCCTGTATTAGAGTATCTATATATTCAAGCCCTGGCATTGGATTATATATAGAGATAACCTTACTTTCAAAAACAAACAAAAAAACCCCTTGCGATTTAGTTTCATTTTCATGAAACAAATGATTTATACTGACTTTCATACCTTAATAAGCTCCCTCCCTAAAAAAATTTTAGGAATAATTATTTCATTCGATTTCTGTGCGACTTAAAAGGCAGCTTAAAAGCCAAAAAGAAGTGGGGAATCAAAAACATTACCAAGTAACATCCTTTTAAGGAACGAAGACCCTCCTTTTCGTTATAAAGTTGACAAACACTTCAGAAACTCAACACGGGAAACATCCATTCAGCGTCCATGTTCAGAATGGATTGTTTTCCCTTCCGCACTTTAAAAGTTCTGAAATGATCCTCAAGGCCTCTTTTTTATAAGCAGCATGCAAGCAGCATCTGTGGGCTGGCAGGATGATGCCGGAGGTTAGAAATGTTCAGCTGCAACATTGATTTGTGTCTGCCTCTCTCCCTCTCCCTCGCTGGCCTTTTTCCCTTTAATGAGGACTAGCATGTTTCCACATCACTTAGCTGCCTTCATAAAGCACCAGAAGGTCACACCAGCCCCAGACTGATCCTTTTCTTTGTGCCTATAATATAATTGGCTGATTGTGCCAGCGAGGAGCGCGCCCCCTCCCCCAGCCCCGTCCTAGCTCCATGTTTGTGAGCCTCGCTGCTGGTTTCCGAGGAGAGCGGCTCGGCTCGCTGCGCGCTTCCCGGCACAGGCGGTGCCACTGCGCAGGTTGCTCAGCGAAACAGCATCCATTTTAATCTGCGGGGAGCCCCTGCCTGCCCAGGGCGTTCTCGCCGCCAGTGGATGCTCCGCGCTTGGCCTCTGCAGCCTCGCTGAGCCGTGCTGCTTTGGGGTCTGGGCCCTAGGATGCACTGAGATGGTACATCAGGAGAACTGTTCGTATCAGGTAAGACTTACAGCCTGATTGTGAGGCCGGGATCCTCGGGGAGAGGAGGCCTTCCTCTTCCAAAGCAGCAGGTTGCCTCTTGCCGGATTTGCAAGGGATTTTGCCACCCTGCACTCCTGGCGTTCCCCGCATACAGTATCTGAATTGTAATTAGGTTTTCCGGGGAGTAATGGGGCAGAAAACACTGCTTCCTTGGCCCTTAAAGCATACCGTGAAATCCACTGAGGTGATCTGTGTTTTGCACGTTCTCTGTCTGGGCAAATGAGAGGAACTGCTGTAAACTGTAATTGAATTTAAGGGGCTTCACGGAGGGAAAAACCTGGTCAGAATTCACTCGGGGAACATTGCAAAATACAATTTTTGCTCATTGCATAGGATGGGAGTTGTTTTGCATCCAGTTTTTAGGATTGTCTTTAAGGGAATTATGTAAATAAGAAGCGTAATTGATGATCTGAGACATTTTCAAAAATCGGCCAGCATGCACTTGGTGTTTAAAGTTGCACTTGTATGTCTTTCCAAACTTATTTTTACTAGCATGTTGTTTTCAGTGGTTAGTAAATAAGAATTAAGGGGCTGACGTGCATAAAAAAACTCCACATGGAAAATTTTTTAGTATCACATATTCATCTTTGTGCTAATTTGCTACGTGGAGTTTTGAATTATACACTTAGACGATTTCAAAAGATCAGTTCGAGAGTGTTAATAACTCCTTCCTGCAACTTGGACTGTCAAGGCAACACTGAAAGCGTCCTTGATGTAATCAGACAACGAGAATGTTCTCAGAGTAATTGCTCTTTGCAGCAGCAGGCATGGCTAATCCAAGTCCAGGGTGGTTACTATTGGGGGATTACTCAACTGACCGAGTTCAGAAGCTCTAAGAGACCAGTTCTTTAACTTAACAATGCCTCTTCCTTGTGTGAGGTGGGTTGCCTGAGACAAGCAGGTGTTTCTCATTAGGTCAGATTTCCCAGAGGTAAATGTATGCAGGCAGAATCGTACATTTCACAGGACTCAAGACAGTGGTTTCTCAGCTAAGTAAAGTGTGCCTGTAAAATACATTTATCCACTCCTCTCTGCTTCAAGATGGGAATTTTGTAATTACGGGCTTGTTTTATTGTATTTTCATTTCATAGTACATCTAGGTCCAGAGAGCCTAAATATCGAGATTTACGCTTCCCAGGAATTCTTCCCATGAGAAAGGGAAGATGCTGAGGAAAACCGAAAACTTCACTTATACACAGTACAGGGTTTGCGAATGGGGAATGTCAAACACCTGTGGAGAGCCTAGCCTATTGATGGCATGGCTCCAGGTGACTAAATTACTATAAAATTAAAATAATTTTTCTACTCTCTTTTCAGAGAAGCTATGTAATTTAACTTTTGAAAGGCAAACTACTATAAGATTATTCCCTATACCTTTTCATTAAGTTGGTCATGAAATCACTGGTTTTAGAGGTCAAGAATTGGTCAGATATCAGCAATTTCATCTGAGGAGAAGGGGTTTTGTTAGCCGACTACTTCTGAAAGGAGACAAATTGATTTTATTTTACACGAACTACAACATCTAACACTGTCATTGTGTGTTTAATAGTTTTGAAATATTTATTGTTTATTTTCACAATAAAATTAAGTGTATTAGGCAGATGATAATAGAAGATTCTGTATCTCTCTGGAGTTTTGGAGTAGAACTACCTTCATGTGTATGTTTGAAACATCCTCCCTTTATTCATAAATCAGTAAAAACAAAAACATTCACCGTGAAGCCAAGTCTTAATCTACTTAGAAACCTTAGGTTTGAACCCACCTGGCACTGCACGTGACTGGATTCAGAATGGGCAGTTTCTCTAAGTCCTTGGCTTGATGTTATCATAGGCACTGGTAGTATCAACGGTAGGATGTTTTTCAGAAACTTGCCCTTTTTCGGATGAAAGCTTGTTTATTTATTTGTTTTTAAGGATGAAAGAAAATGCAGTGATTAAAGCAAATTCCTTAGGGTAGCATTTTTAGTGAGTAAGAATTTATTTGTAGGACTGACTCCTTCTTCCCATAAATGTATACCAAGGTTTCTTAATGGAGAGTCCATGAATGGAGCTCCAGGGACCAGTTCCCCAAAACTATATGCACATTTTGGTGCATATGTCTAGGTGTATATTATTACTATCATCATCATCATCGGAGCATAACGGCCTCCTAACTGCCCCTGCTCTTACTCTCCCCCTGCCCCCCCCACTGTAGCCTAATTTTCAGCACAGTATCCAGAGTGATCTATTAAAACCTAAGTCAAAGCATGTCACTCATCTCAAAATTCTCCTCCTCAGAATAAAAGCCCATATCCTCTCAGATCCCTGACCCCCAGGGCCTTGCATCAACTAGCCCCTGATTCCTCTGGGACTTTCCACATTCCCCTTTCCTTTCATTCCCCTGCCACTATGCCAGCCTGGCCTTGAACTTGCTGTCCCTTCTGCTGGTGTGTGCTTCCCCTAGGTACTCCCATGTGGGGTTGCCAGATTTAGCAGATAATCTGCAGTGTTTGGAACATGTCTATACTAAAAAGTCATTCTCCGTTTATCTGAAATTCAAATTCAACTTGGCATCCTGTATTTTTCCTGTCAGTAACTGTCTCACTTCCTTCAGGTCCTTGCTGAAACGTCACCTTCTTGGGAAGGCCTTCTCTGGACTTAACTGTGTCAACTTCCAACTCCCCAGTTCTAGCCCAGTGTCTCTGTTACACTTCCCTAATTACTTTTATACCTGGCATTCATCACCATCTATCAGAGACATATTTTACATATTTGTCTATTTTCTGTCTCCCTCACTTTATGTAAGCTCCGTGATGGCCATAAATTTCTATTTATATCCATCTGCTTTCCCAGTGCTTAAAACAAACCCTCAGGTAATGTGGATGGATAGGCCTACTATGTATAAAATTGACGAAGAGAGAAGGCATTGTAAACATACTATGGCATCGTGGTTTCTTATATTTCTGATAGCCACTGGGATGACTTTGAGTCTTACTCTATCCTTCCTCCCCCCCCCACCCCCCCACACACACCATTAACCTGCACTGTTTTCATTGTCTGTGGGTCATAATATCCCTCTGTTTCTTGTTAGTTTTCTCATCTATGAAATGGGATGTTCCCTAGTTAACATCCTGGCATGGTTCCTGCCAGAAGCCACCTTTCTGCATGAATAAGTCAGTTACCGTGAATTAAGAGCCACCTTCTTCTGATGCATATGAGGGGCTCAGTGAGGATTGTAAAGAGGCCCAGGAAAACCATGTATCACTTCATTTCCCAGTTATTTGTTGCTAAGGTATGGATGTATAATTGATTCACTGCTTTTCCAAGTAGATGATTACTTTGAAAAAGAGCGTCTTGTTGCTACCAAGACCTTGAAAACCTCTGTTTGATATATTTGGATGCACTGGGCTTTGAACAAGTTGACCCAAGGAGGGATGCTCAGAGGGAAATTCTCAGGCAGGACTTTTTATGGTGGTTTTGTTTCGAAAGGTTCTCACATCGTCATCATCTCTGTGTACTTCTCCCTCGCAGGATTTACATTAGCTGAGAGGTTACTGAGGCATGTGTTGTCATTATCGGTTGTAGCCATGTTAAAAGATAGAGCTATCAACCTCCATTTTCCAGTCTTGGGAGGAAGCCAGTCTCTTCAGGAAAGAACCTTGCCCACAGCTTCAGGCCTGGCAGCCTTCAAGAGGCCAAATTCTTCTAAATGGTCTCTGAGAGCAAGCTTTGAAATATTGTTAACTTGAAAGCACAAGTTTAGGTCAAAAGGTCCATTTTGCTTAAAAGCTCCCAAATATTTTCTCCTCTTTCCCTGCAGTTGGTTTTGGGGTTAGTGTGTATATAAAAACAATGACATGCTTTCATCCCTTTCTTTCCATCGCTTAAATTCCCCTACGACCTCAGATATAGATCACACCCTCACATTCTTAGCTCCTGTGGGAATGGAGACTTGAAAGGAAAAAAGGAAAATGGTATGTGAATGACTCTCATCTCTTTCCTCCTTTGGGAACATCAAGAGGCGCTTCTTCAACACACACCTGGTCTTGAGGAAGCACAGTAGAAACCTTTAATGTTCCCCCATTTTCCTTAGGATATATTCCAGACCCCTTTACGTGGCACTCAAGGGCTAACTGTGATCTGAACCCCGGGCAGAAACACTCCTCCCTCTACTCCCTACACTCCTGCCCCCATATTGCCTTCAGTTCTTTGCTTTGCTATGGTACCTCAGCCTAGAATGGCTCCCACCCACACACCACCTGCTTCTACCCTATTGCAGGTGGATACAGCTTTCAAGCGTCACATGCCACCTCCTTTGGGAAACTTCCCTTTTCTTCCCGCACTCAAAATTTCTCCTTCTCAGTGCACTTTGTTTTTGTTTCTAACAGAACCCACTTACAGCTGGTGACATACAAGTCTGTCTCCCCCATCAGACAACAGGCTTCTTGAAAAGAAGGACCTTGTTTTACTTCCCTACTGTACACATGGAATGTGTGTTCAATAAATGTTGAATTAATTGCATTTTCCACATCTGGTGGTGTTCTGAGTCCCCAGGATCAGGATCGCCCATCATAACACTAGAGGGAGGCTCAGATCTGCGCACTGCAACGGGGAGGTGGTGAAGCTGACCACAGCACAGCACTCCTTGTATCTGGCTCGTGGACCTTTCAGACAGTTCCCAGCATTTCAAACATCCCGTGTGCCAAAAAGTGGGATGTAGTGCAAGGAATAAAATAAATGAGACAGACATCACAGCCTTCCCAGGAACAATGCATTAAGAACATACCTCTCTACCTATTTTTCCTTTACCCAGAGAATTTTCCCAAGGTGAACCTCATGGTCTGTCCCCAAGCACTTTTGAAGCAAGTGCTCATCCCCAAGCTGCCTTCCTTAATACATCGATTTTGCAAAGTTTCAGTGCATCTTTTCACCGTATAGAGCAGTAGTTTTACTGCCTCCTGAAACAGGAAATTTTTCTTA